AGGAGGCAACAGCCTATCACTTTACCACATGACTTGAAGTTGTTAAAGAAATAAATGTAAGATTTTTATTTCCTCTTGGAGTTTGCAAGGAAGGCATTTCAATTTGCTATTCCACGTGGGCTCCTGCATGAACATGAACTTACTGTCTTGAGTTTCAGTACCAAGTCACCGTCTTAGACATGGAAGAAGGAATGTGTAAAGTTTTCCATGATGGGGTCAGCTATAAGACTTCTTTGAACTAAGAAACTCTTGTATTGATTTACACCCAGTGAAAATCATAACTCTTAGTTGTTCCCTTTGGTCTAGTTTGATAAGTACACACCCCCTGTAGGCTGTACCCCAACCTAGACACAGGGCATTGTCTTTCCTAGACAGTTTGACATGACCAGTAGAGAATAATCAGATGTCTATCAGTACAGGATAGCTCTGTCCCTTCCGGAATGTTCTATATAGATGGAATTCTATGCTGCTGCATGTTTCTGTGAGTCTCTCCTTTTCGTTCCTGAGTAGCTTTATATTGTGTGACTGTATGTCACTTCGTTGACCTGGTTAATTCTGAGTGGGCTATTTTCAGATTTTGATTTTTTATGAATAAAGGTGGCTATGACTATTCTCACATGAGGATTTTGGTGGATAGATATTTACTTTATTTTTTTAAGATTTATTTTTATTTGTATGTGTATGAGAGAGAGAGAGAGAGAGAGAGAGAGAGAGAGAGAGAGAGAGAGAGAGAGAGAGAGAGCGATTTGGAATGAATAGTCTTTTGTTTACAATCTTTTTAATTTACATTCCTCTGATGATAATGTTTTGATGATTTCATGATTAATGTATTCATGAGGTTATTGTTTAACTTCTTTTGTAAGATATTTGTTCAATGGGACTAGAGACACTGCTCACCTGCTAAGACTGTGAACTGCTTTTCTCACACTCAGGTTTATAACTCTAGTTCCAGGGGATCTGATACCCTTTTCTGACCTCTGCAGGCATCAGGCACACATGTGGTGCACAGATATACATGCAGGCAAAAATGCCCATACACATAGAATAAAAATAAATATTAAAACATTTTAAACTTTATTTTTATTTTATGTGTATGGGTTTTTTGCCTATGTGTGTGTCTATGCACCAAATTTATGCAGTGCCCGTGGAGGCCAGAAGAGGGCATTGGATCCTCTATGACTGGAGTTACAGATGTTAGAAGTGGCCATGTGGGTGCTGGAAATCAAATCGGGTCTTTGGGAAAAGCAAATAAAGTTCCTAACCACTGAACTATCTCTCCAGTCCCATATATATATAAAAGATACTTGTTTAAGGTGCTGGAGATGGGACTCAAGTGGTAGAATGCTTGCATAATATGCAGGGAGTCCTGGGTTTGCATAAAGCTGGGCGTGGTGGTACGTACCTGTAAACCCCAGCATTTATGAGGTGGAGGTGGGAGTATCAAAAGTTAAAGGTCAGGGCTGGAGCCGTGGCTCAGTGGTTAAGGACACACACTGCTCTTCTAGAGGCCCCGAGTTTGATTGGCAGTACCGACACTGGCCATCTCACAACTGTCTATGACTTCAGCCTCGGGGGGATCCAACTCCTCTGGCCTCTGTGGGCACCTGCACTCACGTGTGCACACCTACACCCACATACGCATAATTAAAACTAGTAAAAATAAACCTTAAAAAAAGTTGGAGGTCATCCTCAAAGACATAGTGTGTTTGAAGCCACTGTGGCCCCTTTAACTGGGCTGGGCCAGGCCAGGCTTCCTAATACTTCATCAATTAATCTTCTAATTATTTCTTCCTGCTTCCGACTGCCTAGCCCTGTCGTCATGGTACCTGGTGATTCTGAGGAACTCAGGGAGGCATTCTTTTATTTCATTGATGTTTGATTTGGGCATTTTCATTCTGGAGCAAACGGTGCATTGTCTGTCTGCTGTAGCCATCTTCACCGGTCACAGAGTCTGTTGGAGGGGAGTGGCCCAGAATATTCTCAGGGCCCTTAGCCCAGATGCTGTCTTTGATGAGGACTGTCACCCATTCTGGGTCACTTCGTGCCCTCCTCATTGCTTAGGAAAGGGTGGGAAAAAACTCCTTTCGGACAGATCCTAAACACAGGGGATGTCAGGGAGCCCTCAGGGCTGGGCCAAGTTCAGTCTGCAGCTGGGTCCGTTTGCATCCTTGCTAGGATTTATTAGGAAGGCTACAGCTATCTTCCTAAACCAGTTCGTTTTCTCTTTCCATACCTGGGACTCTTGCACCTTGTAGAGTGCTCTCACTGGACCTCACCACGTGGGCCTGTCTAGGTGGACGGAAAAGCACAGGAGGGAGACTTGGTGTCTAAGAATGTGCTCTGAAAATGAAAATCCTTGCTTGGGACAGATCCAGCCAATCCCTGTACAGGGCAGGAGAGAAGCTTTCCCCCAGGCTGAAGGGATCAGATGGCCTGGGAGAGTTCCATTCTCAGGGTTTTATCTTTGGCTTTGATCTGGTCCCTGAGATCTGGAGACCGGGTCGGCTCGGGGGAGCCCGTCAGTAAGAATGACGGGATACAGAACTGCCTAGCACTCCGGTCAAGTCTGCAAGATGGAGTATCTCGCGTCCCTGCAGTCAGTTCTGATGGCGGACCAGGACAGTGCACCGGGCTGTCAGTCAGCATGTTCTGAGGGGCCGATCCATCTTCCTTCTGTCTCTCATCACCACTCAGTCCTGCCAGTTCTCTCGGTTTTCTAAGTTGGAAGGGAATGTGGGCTTCCGTGAAGCACTTGAGGAACTCTTCCTGTAATCAACAATCAACATCTAGGACTGGGCAGAGTTGGCTCCAGGTGAGGACACATTTGAGGGTATGATGAAGTGCGCCTGCTTCCCTAGGTCAGGGCAGAGTCACCCCCGCCCCTCACCTCCGTACTAAGAGTCTTTGGAACTTAAGAAATGAGGCTTAAGATGGAAGGAAGGAATTCCAACCCAGGGGCTAGGGGTCCACTTCTGGGTTCTGCCATTCTAGCACATACGGACTCTACCACTGACTGGTCTCCTGCTATGAACCCACCACCTGGCTTCCTGTATTACTGTGTGTGATAGTTAACTTGAGTTGTTAACTTGGAGCACCTGGAAGTCAAGCCTCTTGACACACCTGTCGGATTATGGCATTGGGTTAGCTGAGTTTGGAAGAGCCACCCTGTATTTGGGCAGCACCATTCCCTGGGTCCTGGTTCTGGACTGAATGAAGGGGGTAAAGCCTTGAGTGGTAGCATTCATTGCTCTTTGCTTCCTGACTGCTGATGGAATGTGAGCAGCTGCCTCAGGCTCCCATCATGGTGACTTCCTCATCATGACAGACTGGACCCTTGGACGGTGAGCCCGGACCAATCCTCCCTCCCTTCAGTTGCTTCTGTTACTATGCTCTCTCCTCTCTCACGTCCCTGGACTCCCCCCCCGCCCCCCAAGGCTTCTTTCATCTCTCTGTCCCTTGACAGGAGGAACAGGGGAATTTTCTCTAAGGAAACTCTGGAAGGTGTGACTTACCTCACAGGAGTGCAGCCTAGAACATCTATGTAAGGAAAGTTGGGGGTCACAGATACTTCTCTTGCCTGGGCTCAGCCAGCCTATTCCTGCTCTCTCTAGACCTTCTTCCCCCCAAGTCTTCCCACCTCTGAAGAAAATGATTACTCACCACGACAAACCGAGCGCAGAAATAGTCGTCCTATTTACGGCTTCAATGCAAGCAGCTTTATTTTTACAGTAAGTTGCTGTATTTTCTCTAAGCATAAATCATTATCTACCACAAATGAAACTCCAGCCCCATCTGTGATAGTTCCTGCTTTGTTGGTGGTGCCAATTAGTCACAAAACAATTGGCAACTTCCCCCCCACCCACTCGCTCTGTGGGAGGAGAGCGCTCCCTTGCAGCGGGCCCCTTCCGTCAGGCCCTTCCGTCAGGCCCTTCCGTCAGTGGTCAACTTCCCCGGAGACCATCTGACCCGCCTAGCTTCCTGGGAGCTCTGCTCTGCATTCACCTGGTGACTGGTATCAACTTCCAAATTGGGTGACTTGTGTCCACTGCCAGAGTGGCCAGGCATCCCTGTTATGTTTCGAGATGGAAAAAAGGCAATGGGTGTGCGCCTGTTCTGTTGACTTAAACAATGACGTTGGCATCTTCTCTCCAGTTGGTCACTCTATTCAGGGTTCCACGGCACTCCTGGGGACAACTGTTCGCCAAATCTGGACAGACTCAGCTCTGAGGAGCACCAAATGTGGATAAAGGAGCAGAGAGGATCCTTCTGTCCCATCCCATCCTCCTTCATTCCGCCCCCTGGGGACTGCTGCTGGGGACCTCTTAGCCAGCCTTTGGCTGTCTCAGGATCCTCAGGGATCCTGGCTTCTCTCACGGATCCCTCCCCACGGTGTGTTCCTTCCTTTCTACCTTGTAGTTTGCCTTAGTGGGTTTTCTTTTCTCTCTAACTTTCCTCCTGAAACGCAAGCTCCCCCAGGAGGCTGGCCTTCTCTTCCATTGGAACACGGAAATCAGGTAATGAGAAAGCATTTCCCACATCTGGCCAGAGCTCATCGGTTCTGTTGATTTATCATCTCTCTGTGTCAGTGCCAGCTGTGGTCTGAAGGTCTTCGGGGTAAGCCTCCTCTCACGTGGTCTCCTTCCCCTCCTCGAGGACTGAGCCCTGGGCTTCCTGCAGAGTAATTGAGCTCCTGCCCTTCAGACTTGCTTTGGAAACAGTCTCAGCAGAGGCTTCGGACTTGGTCCGTGGACACCTGCTTTCTGATGCATTGGAATCACCTTCCCTCCCCCTTGATCTGACTGCTTCCGGGGTCATTGCTACTTCACGGTAACTGGAGGAAGCTCTCTGAAAAGAGAAGTGTGGGCAGGAGTGGGAGTTGGGGGTAGCTCTTCACTGTGGGCATGGCCACCTGAGATCCAGGTAAGCTAGAATTCTCTTGCTTGCCTCTATCTTGGGTTCTTGGAGAAAAGTGGACAGAAGTCAAGGGGAAAGCTATTTAATGCTGTGTTTCCAGGTTCCTGCAAGAGAATCTAACAAAGTCTTAGGAAGGACTTTGCTTGGGTACTGCCATGAAGCAGACATACCCCTCTACTACAGTCCCTGGTTCCTTGGCTTCCCTTCCTCTCCATTTTCTCAGCCCAACTTCCTGCAGTAAATTGTGCATGATATACTCCAAGGACCTGTAAGAGGGAATGTGTATTGAATTACTTATCCATGTGCCTCCCACTATACAGGCATACATGTCCCTTTTAATCCCCACACCTTTTTGACATAATATTAAAAATCCATTTTACAGTAAAGAAGACTGAGTCTTCAAGGGCTCATTGCAGGTCATGTGCTTACTTAGGAGCTCAGCTAGGAATAGGAATGGGTCTATGTATTCTGCCCTTCCATACATTATGTCTCAGGAGCACTGTTCTCTTTAGCCCAGGCTGGCCCTAGTCTCTCAAGGTGATGAGCCACCCTGTGCTACCCTCAGTCACTCCCACTACGGATCAGGGTACAGATTTTCACTTGTGTGTCAGTGAATGATGCCATCTGAAGTACTGCCTCTGCTGATAAGCGTGGGACCATCTGCTTGGCACAGCTCAAATATTCTCCGCAGTGGGAGAGCAGCTCTGACTTCAGAGACTAGTCTGCAGCCATCCTTGGCGATGCTGGGACAGGGGACCTGGCGGGCTGGCTGGGCATGGATGCCACAGGATGCAAAGGAGCTGTCTCCCTGTTGTCACCTCTGACCCTTCCTGAGCGAAGGACACCAGTGAGTCTGCGCTCCAGTGTGGAGTTGTTCAGATGCTCTTGACAAACACAGTAAGATCTCCCCCGTGCCGAGAGCTGTCACCCCGGCAGCGATTTCTATGCCGATTGCTTTCTATGGAGTGCTAGATATTTGCTGTCAGTGTGTGTTGGCAAAAACTTCTGCCTCCCACTGCCTTCATTTTGGGAAATTTGCTTTTCTGCTGGGGGAGCTGTTCCCAGATATCGCTTTCCAACTTTCGGGTTGAAACTTCTACCATAGCTCTGCCGTCTTGACTCATGACTGGGAAGGTATGGAAGAATCATTGGGTTGATTCGTAGGTTGGAAGGTGGATGCAGATGCTTTCAAGGTTGTTGCAGAACTGGGGACTGAAAGGGCTGTGACAGTCTTTGATTACCATATAGAAAATGCTTGACTTAGTCCCTGGGCATGGCTAGAGGCAAGCTGGGTGGGCTTCTGTTTGCTTTCCTTAGTGGTTATCGGTGTTTGTGAAGCTCTGTCTAGCCCAGTGATGACAAGGTGTACTAAACAGTCTTTGGTGGACCTTTGCAGTGTTTCCCAGCCCGGGTGGGAGGGGTAATTTGGCAAGGAGTGAGTGTACCGGCTGTTGACACATTGCTGTCTGTGACAATAAGGTGATCACAAGCTGGCCTCTGGAGCATGGAGGCTCACCTCAGCACTGTGGACGTTTGAAGACTGCATAGTTCTGTTGTGTGGCTGTTGTACATTTTGCAGGACTTCAGCCACTAGATGCTGTTAGCGCACTCAACTCAGCTTGACCTCTAGACCACCAGGCGTGCCAAATGTCCCAAAGGAGACATAATTCCCCTCCACCTTTGAAAGCAGCACACCACGTTGTTTTTTTTCTGCACACTAGAAAGGGGACCTGTCCTTGCTCCTGTGCGCAGGTGGCTCTGGTGTTGGGGTAATGTGAGGATGTGTTTAACACAGGACAGGTGTTCCTGCCATGCATTCCCTTCAGTGCCCTTCCTTGCCATGGAAATTCCACCTCACAAATGGCTTTCTATTTGTGCAGGTTAGTGTACACACATACACAGAGGAAAGAATGCACCTTTTTCTTTGCATCTACACACCAAACAAGGTCCTGCCTGGGGTCAGCTTCTCTGCGGTTGCCTGGGAACAGGAGCAGGTTTCTGACACACACTCCTCCAACCCCTGGGTTTATTGCTGCTATTGCTGTTGCTCTGATTTTCTTTCTCCCCACTCTGTCTTTTCTGTCATCACCCCAGCCCCTCTCTTCTCCCCCCCTCCCTCTCCCCCTCCCCCTCCCCCTCCCCTCCCCTCCTCTCAGAAGAAATGTTTCAGAATGGGAGTCTGGGGCTCAGGAAAGACTAAGTGAGCAGGAATGTGGAAGAGGATGCCTGCTCCCCAGTTTCTAGAGAATGCATACAAACACATGGCATTTGTTATTTTAGAAATTGAATGTATTGTTATTGTGTGTGTACATATGTGTGGGGGTATGAGTGGAGGTCAGAGGATAGCTCTATGGAGTTGGTTCTCTCCTTCCACCTTTAGTGGGTTCTGGGGATTGAACTCAGGTCAGCAGGCTTGCGCTGTAAGTACTTTTGCCTGTGGAGCCATCTCATCAGCCTGTGGAGGGAATTTAAACCTTCCGTCCCCACTGGAGCTCCTTGATTCTGCCATCGGCTCCACTGTGCAACCACCTCTCACACGTGCAGGAGAGATGGGTGTAAACCCTGGATGGAGCTGTCAGGACCTGGCTGTGTGAGTTCACATCCTTCCACAGCTGCGAAAACCGCCAGGCTAGTTTGCCCTGCTTGCTGACTTCATTCTCTCAGCCCGGCGTTTCCACAGGACTCACTTTGGCAAAGAACCATCCAATCTCTAGATTTTCAATTTCTAGCTGTTCTCATATCTCAGCCTTCCAGAAATACATTAAAATTGATAATCACGTGAAGGAGCCAAGGTTCAGAGGGGCCGGACTGCTTGGCTTGGGGTTTGCATCTGTGATCAGCGAGCTGGCTTGGAAGCTAAGCTCCTGAGCCAGGCAGGGTTAGGCACAGACAGCAGAGGCCTCTGCACTGAAATGTGCACAACAAAGCCTCCTTGGCAGTCTTCGCCACATCTACCGAGAGAGCAAAGACCATTCTCAACAATGAGGCTGACCACATTCTGGGCCTTTGCCGCTCTTAGGAATAGGTCATCAGGTCAAAGGCCCTGGAGGAACCTTGCAGAGGGACTTCAGCCACATCCAGGTAGATTCTAGTCTCCTGAGAAAGACGAGGAAGAGGCTCTGACTTGACAAATGATGTGGAAATCAGGAGAAGCCGGCTGCCATTTACTTTATCTACGGTCATACACGGAAGGCAATTAGGGGTGTCAGGCTGGGCTCTGTCACAAGTCAAGGGACACATGCGTTTGTTTGCCTTTGCACCACCAAGTTAGGGTGACCAGGCCACTTGTTGAAGTCTGAAGTTTGGGGTGCTGGGACAGGTGAGGCCACACTTAAAGAAGCACTGTGGAACTGGCTTCAATTCTTGCTGCTGTGGTTTAGCAAACCACAACAGTTAAAAACAGATCTGAAGGCGGTGGTGGCCCACGCCTTTAATCCCAGCACTCCAGAGGCAGAGGCAGGAAGATCTCTGTGAGTTCGAGGCCAACTTGATCTTCAGAGTTAGTTCCAGGACAGCCAAACCTACACAGAGAAACTCTATCTTGAAAAAACCAAAAATAAAATAAAATTAAAAAACAGAGGGGTTGGGAATTTAGCTCAGTGGTAGAGCGCTTGCCTAGCAAGCACAAGGCCCTGGGTTCAGTCCTCAGCTCCGGAAAATTTAAAAAAAAAAACAAAACAGATCTGAGGTTGGAGAGATGACTCACCAGTTAAGAGCATGCCCTACTCTTGCAGAGAACCTAGTTTTAGTTTCTAGTACACACTGGGTAGCTCACAACTACATGTAACTCCAGCTCTGGGAGATCTGGCGATCTCTTCTGGCCTCTGTGGGCACTGCACTCAGGTGCACAGACACACACAGAGACACATAATTAAAAAAAAATAAAAAATGGGAATCTTAAATTGCTTTTTGACTTTCATGTATGAGTACTATATTTACATCACGTTCCCCCTCTTTTTCCTATTTCCAGCTCCTCTAGTGTTCCTCCACTCCCTCTTGAATCCCTGGCCTCTTATTCTTTATTATTGTTACATATATACACATATACATGTAAATTTATAAATGCAACCTTAAGAATCCCTTTAGTGCTGCTTGTATGTATATATGTTTAAGGCTAATCACTTGGGATTAGATAACTATCAGGGGACTCATCCCTGGAGAAGATGGAATTTCCCTTTCTCAGCAGCCATTAGTAATCTGTAGCTTTTCATCTACCGGTGAGGTCTTGTGATGCTTGCCCGTCTATGCTGGCATGTCAACCGGTATTGCCATTTTTCTGGTCTTTTTGGCAGCCATATTTTTGAGATTTTGTGGGTGCAACCTCCCTGGCATATATAGAAGACACTATCTTGATGCAGACTTCCTGGTTCTTTGGCTCTCACAACCTTTCCGTTCTCTCTTCTTTGATGTCTCTGAGCCTTAGTGACTGTAGGGGTTGAAAATAAATCTTAAAAAACAAATGAACACCAGGCAGTGGTGGCGCACGCCTTTAATCCCAGGACTCGGGAGGCAGAGGCAGGCAGATCTCTGTGAGTTCGAGGCCAGCATGGGTTACAGAGTAAGTTCCAGGAAAGGCTCCAAAGCTACACAGAGAAACACTGTCTCAAAAAAAAATCATCATCATCAACAACAACTCAGAGACCCCTGACAATTCGTGTAGGGGTGCCTGTGTCTCAGAAAAAAGAGACAGTTCAGCAGGTGATGCATACCACCAAAGAGCTGCCTCATGCCAGAAAAAAAGATCCCAGACTATAAGACTAGTTTGTGACATTTTAATGATGTAATACAATCTCTACTGACTTTGAAAAAAAGAAAAAAATTTCTTACACTCAGATGTGATATTGCTGCCGACAGTTGTTTTAATTCCTATAGGTAGATGGGTTGTGCTAAGCATTCTTTGTGTTGGCCAGTCTGGCCTAAGGTGGGTAGTGTCTGCTCATGCAGGGAATGCAGCCCAGCAGGGAGAGGACACAGGAATGGGACCATGACAGAGGGTGACAGCATTAGGCAGGGCGTCTATGTGGGAGGTAAACATGGAGCCCTTGATAAGTGAAAAAAATGTTCCAAAGCAAGGCACAGTGGCAGCGTGGGCTGTTCAACCACAGAAGAAGGGCTTCTAAGTGGGTTATTTGTACACAGGTGGATGAGAGGAGTCAGTACCTTACTATCATAGAAGGACATTATAGACATGGAGATAACCAACTCTTCAATTGACTTGGGAGACGTTGCTATAGATGTATGTATTTGTGTGTGCACATACACATTTTATAAATATGATTGTAAGTGCATGTATACGATTGTAAATATGAGCATATATGTATATTTAAAAAAATGATGAAGAGAAGCAACTGATATGTTCAAGGCTAGAGGGTTAGTTGAAAATAAATACATTTTAGAGAATACCCTGATAGGAGGAGAAATATGATATACAAGTGAGAAAATGTACGATACCAACCCTTATCTTAAACTGATTCCAACTTCTTTTTATTATGTGTGTAGGTGTTTGTCTCCAGGTATGTTCATGTACCTTATACATGCCTGGTGCCCAATGGAGGTCAAAGGAGGGCATTGGATACTCTAGAACTAGGGTTACAGACGGTTGTGAGCTGCCATGTGGATGCTGGGAATTGAACCTGGGTCCCCTGGAACAACAACCAGTTCTCTTAACTACTGAGCTATTTCTCCAGCCTCCCAACTTTTTTTTTTTTAAGTGTTTGAGACATTGAAAAAAAAAAAGATAAGGGACTATTTCAAGTTTTAAATAAGGTTAATTTTGAGTATTGGTCTTACGTGTGAAATTGCCAAATATTCTGCAGTGAGAACATATTGTTTTATAGTTGGAATAAAAGGTAATATAAATTAGAGTCCCCCCACTTTGTATCACAGCTAAGTGGATCATAGAGGAGCCCATCAGGATGGCATTTTGATGGCCCTTTTACACAGGTAGGAGCGGTTTGATCTGTCCTTAAGAGCCACTCTGCTGCTTGGCGACTTTCCTAGGACTCTCTACGTAAACCAGGCTGACCTCCAACTTGTAGTAATCCTCTTGCCTCTGTGATTACAAGCGTGAGCATCACAATAGACGTTAATGTAGAGAGAGCACAGGAACCCTGGACCCACCGTAGACGAGATCATAGTTTGAAATCCACCTTAGGTCTTAGAGGGGAAAAAAAGTCCTCTCCATCAGGGAACCTGGTGCCTTCAAGTCCTCAAAGAGGAGGTTAGTGACAAGCTAACGTGCAGAACAAAATGTAAGCATGGGAAGACTTCTGCCACGGGTGAGACCTGCAGCAGGGTGAAGGAGCGAGGGCTAGGTCAGGACCTCCGGCTGGCAAAGCTCTGCCCTGGTTGTGAGTGCTGGTCCACCTCCCGGTCTCTCTGGCTTCTGTTTGTCTGTGAAGTGAGAGGCTTAAACCAATGGTCTCCAGACTTTCTTCTCTGGTGAGCAGGAAACAGGCTTGACCTTTGGTTGGCAGTCGGGAGACCTGGCCAGCTCTCTGATGAAGACCCTTGAGCATTTTCAGACACCGCTGTGTTGCTGCCCAGGGAACATCAGCCACCATCAAGCGATTGTGGGCGGCAGAGCCCCCAGTGGGGTTGTGACTTGCAGAGGTTCCAAGCTTGGTATTTATTAATCCTTCATTTTCTCCCCTGTTAAATCGGGATGATGATGGCTTCTTTCCCAGCCTCCCACACTGGTGAGAAGGACCCATAGTTAGGCAGCAAGGAAGGGTTCTTTGGATGCTAGCATCTGCACTCTGATGCTCCAGGAAACTTCATTCTCCCTAGGAGATGCTTCCATGAGGAACAGCGAGACGGGAATGACACTCTGTGATGCTGCCCATGTAGCTGACTAATGACGCCACCACCTGCTCCCGTCCTCTCGAACTCTGTTCCCAGCTGAGGTTCCCACCACTGCGTTCTCCACCAAGACCGGATAGGATGAGCTGTCCTTCTGCTTGGACTGTCCCTTGTGCCAGGTAAGCACGCAGCCTGCAGCTATGTTACTCAATAACAAGATGACGTGGTGCATGTCTGGACAAGAAGCCTGCCATCCTAGAACTGGGTCTGCCTGGAGATGCCAGGCAGGTGTGGCCCCTCATCAGGGGGCTCAGCCACGGGGTGTTTGTGACCGTTGGGAATGTATCACTGTGGCTAGAGTAAATTCCAAGCTAGACTGTTTTGTCCGTGAGCAGCAACTATGGCTCTACTCACCCCACACTCCCCACCCTCAGATACCCCAGCTACTCCCACAGATGTGTGATAGATAGGACAGCCAGGAGCCTTGAGAGGATGGGGATTAGGATGGTGAGCATACAGGGCCAGTGGGTTCCCAAGCCTCCCAAACTGCCACCGGACAGTTGGAAATTCCCATTGATCAAATAACATTGAGGATGTGATTTTTTTTTATAGCAATGTGTTCATTTAGGTAAACTCTCACTATAACAAATCAATGGGGGGATTATATTTGTTGTTGTTTTTAACGAGAATTTAGTTTTCATAATTTAACTATTTGCATTAAAAACCCAATGATCAAAATCAGTCTGACTATGTGATTCAAGAGTTTTGCTCCAACCCCGAGAAAACTGTGTCCACTCCTTGGGATACCCTGGGCTGAAGTGAGGGCTTTTTCTTCAGGGACATCACAGAGCTCCATCTGCCTCTGCCTCCCGAGTGCTGGGATTAAAGGCATGTGCACCATCATGCACAGCTGGCCAAAACCATTCTTTCTGTAGTTCTGGGGTCGAGACAGGGTCTTACTACACAGTCCTGGCTAGCCTGGAGCTCTCTATGTAGACCAGGTTGACCTTGAATTTGTAATGCTCTTTCTGCTTTGGCCTCCTGACTGCTAGGATTACAGACATAAGCTATCATGTGCAGCTAGCAGGGACATTCTGTACCTCCTGCCTTCATGCATGTTCCTATCCATGGTGTTTGCTTTTCCTAAAATGCCTTTCTTCCCCGTCTTCCGAAAACAAACTCCTACTGACCCTTCAAGACCCAGTGATGTGAGGCCTCCCTTGGAACCGTATAAAGCTATGTCTTGCTGTGTGCTTGCCTGCTCTTGGCACTCGCTCCTTCATTCCGCTCACCAAATTGAATTAGATTCCGTTTCTTTCTCCCCAACAAAACTACGCAAAGGCTCTTATTTTTAACAGTCTGTATAAGAGCTTACAATTAAATCTTGAAAGAATGGAGAAAGCCTGTTCCATCATCACAAAGATGAATCCCCCACTGTAGAACTGAAGTTTGGTTTGATTTTTTTTAAAAGACAGATATGATTGGGCCTAACATGTTCAAACAGCGTTCTCAACTATTTTTGTGAATGTAGTCTGAAGCTTTTGGGAAGAGGGAGGACAGTTGAATGGAAATAAAAACTGTGTCATAAAAGGAAAAGTGTGGGACACGGCTTCTCAGAGGAGGGAGGGGCAGGCTGTGAATTTGGGGCTCAGTGAGGAGATAGGAAGGGAGGCAGCACCGTGGTGGGGATCCCTTTCACCCCATCATTGCAGTCAAACAGGGGAGCCCTTTTTCTCAGGTGAGAAGCCAAGAGCTGATTGCCTTCAAGGTCTAGAGGGTCCTGGGTGTGTGAGTCTTGTCTGAGACAGCAGGACGCCCCCGTCACCTTCCCTAAAAACCCAGCTTACGTCTGGTGTTACACATTCCCAGCATTTGGTGTGGGTTTGCTCCTAAGAACCTGGACTACCCATCTTTGTATGAGAGATTTCGTGTTTGTGACAGTTGAAGGCCTGAGCTATCCCTATGGGGGGGGGAGGGGTGGCCACTGGTCACCTGCTCCTCTTGAGCATAGGAAATGTGGTTCATCTGCTAAGCTACACACTGCAGGTGGGATACACATCCTTCTTTTTTTCCCCATTTTTATTTCCATATCAGTTATATGATGAAATGTTGTTTTGAACTCACTGGGTTAAATAAAATACATCATCAGAATAAATTTCGTTGGTTTATTTTTGCTTCTTTTAAGAATATTTATTTTATTTAATTTTATTCTAGCGAGTGTTTTGCCCGCATGTGTGTATGTGTGTGCACCACCTGCATGCCTGGTATCTGCAGAGGTCGGAAGAGGGCATCAGATCCCCCATTTGGATGCTTGTAAACCACATATAGGTGCTGGGAATTAAACCTGGGGTCCTCTCTTCTTATGAGGGGGTGGGGGGGGAGGGAAGGGTTTATTTCATCCACAGTTTTTAAACATAATTTTTTTTTTTTTGGTTTTTTGAGACAGGGTTTCTCTGTGTAGTTTTGGTGCCTTTCCTGGAACTCACTTTGGAGACCAGGCTGGCCTCGAACTCACAGAGATCCGCCTGCCTCTGCCTCCCGAGTGCTGGGATTAAAGGCGTGCGCCACCACCGCCCGGCTTAAACATAATTTCTTTATTGATTCTTTGGAAATTTCACATCATGCACCCCAATTCCACTCACCTCCCAGTCTCCCCGTAGCCTCCCCTCATCCTTGCAGCACCTCCCAAAAGAAAATTTAAAAAAAATCAAACCAAAATAAAACATATCAAGCAAACAAAAACAAGAATAAAACCAAATAAACTTTTTGGCTTCTCCATCTTTCCCACCTCTCCCATACTTCTTCATTCATCCTGGTGGCATTGGGAGGCCTTGGTGTGTCACACAGATTACCCTTTTGTCCAATCAGCTTTACTAGCAAATGTTCACTGCTATCAGTCCCTGGTCTGGTTCAAGGCCTCTGGTTTCTGGCACACCATCATAGGATCCTCACCAAAATTCCTCTGGGAAATGCCACGGCTGCCCAGAGTCATGGAGGTCCTGTGGGTGTCGTTCCACAGGACCAGTGGGTCCTAGATGGGTAGCTGTTAGGGTGGGCCAACCCAAGGCCTGGCTATGGGTCTGGGTGGTAGCTGAACTGGTCATTCCAGGCCACTGTCTTCAGGCAAGCTCGCAGAGTCAGCTCCCCGATGCCCACGCCATCAGGGTTGGCTCTCCTTTGCCTGTGGTGAGGGGTGGTGTCATCTCTCTCAAGGGCAGGGATCAACTCTCTTGCTGCTGTGTCCAGCAAGAGGCAGGGCCAGCTTTCCCAAGGCCAGCAAAGGGCAGAGCCAGCCCAGCAAGGCCCTCTGATTTCATCACACATGGTTCCTGTGGCCCCCTGATGTGACACAGGCTGAAGACATCAACATAGACCCCAGCTGCAGCTGGACCGCAGACCCAGACATGGCCCTCAGCAGCAGCTCAACCTGGACGACATCCTGACTCTAGGTGGAAGTACTGGCCACTCGGATCAGGACACCAGCAAGGTCACAGGTTGTGGCCCCAACCCAGAGCTTCCGTGTGGCCTTTGGTGGCAACAAGGGCCTTGGACTTCAACACAGACCTTAGCTGCAGTAGGACCATGGATCCAGACATGGTCCTTGGCAGCAGCCGGGTCTGGATGTCACCATTGCCCCAGATGGTAGTGCTGCAGACCACTCAGATTGGCATGGCTCCAGCGGCAGCGTGGCCCTCAGACACTAGCATGGCCCCACACCTCAGAAATCCACATGGACTTCGATGGTAACAGGAGCCTCAGACATCAACACACACTCTGGCTGCAGTAGGGCCACAGACCCAGACATGGCCCTCAGCTGCAGCTCTGGCCTGGATGTCACCATAGCATTGGGTAGCAGTGCAAGCCACTCAGATCTGTATGGCCCCAGCTACAGCAAGGCCCTCAGACACCAACATGGACTCAGTTGGCTGACCTGACCCTGGGCATCCACATGGCCCTCGGTGGCAAGAGGCCAACAGATTGTGGCCCAGACTTGGTCCTCTCTAAAAGCAATAAATTCTTAACCACTGAGTCATCTCTCTAGCCCCTATTTATTTTTATTGTGTGTGTGTACGAGTGGTTTATTTATTTACTTTTTTATCTGCATGTATGTTTGTGTACCATAAGCCAGGTGTCCTTCAAGATCAGAAGAGGGTGGTGGATCCCTTGAAACTGGAGTTATAGGTTATTCAGGAGCCACCCTGTGGGTGCTGGGTATGGAACCTGGGTCCTCTGCAAGAATAGCAAGTGGTCTTAGCCACTGAGCCATCTCTCCAGCCTCTGAACTTTCTAGCCACAATGCCAAGGTTATGATTCATGGCTGAACGTCTCTCTGTGTTGATGGGTGTGCAGGGACACATGCATGTGGGTGGGTATGTGTTGGAGGCCAGAAGTCAACCTTGAGTGTTGTTTCTAAGGTGCCATGCATTTTTTTTTATAGGATTGCTCACTGGCCTAGAGCTTGCCAATTTGGGTAGGCTGGATGGCTAGCCAGGTCTAGGGACTCCCCCAGCTCTGCCTCCCCAGTTCCGAGATTACAAATGTGTGCTGCCACATCTAGCTTTTAAAAATATATCTGTTTCTATGTGTATACGTGTTTTATCTGGATGAATATATGTGCATCGCATGCGTACAGTGCCTTCAGAAGAGGAAGGACATCAGATCCACCAGAACTGGAGTTACAGATTGTGAGCCTCCATCTGGGTACTGGGAACTGAACCCAGGTCTTCTGCAGAGAAGTGCTCCTAACCAATGAGCCATCTCTCCAGGTTTTATTATTATTATTATTATTATTATTATTATTATTATTATTATAAATGTGAGTCTAGGAGATCCAACTACAAAGCAAACACTTTCCTAACTGAGCCCTCCCCCCTCCCCACAAGCCCTCTCTTCTATTTTAATTCTCCGGTTTTCATAGTTTTTGTTTGTTTGACTTACTTGCAGGAAATTACCTGAAGCGGCTCAGCCCGAAGCCTCCTCATGGACCAGTCAAATATGACCTCCCTGGCTGAGGAGAAAGCCATGAATACCTCCAGCAGGAATGCCTCCCTGGGGAGCTCGCACCCGCCCATTCCCATAGTTCACTGGGTCATTATGAGCATCTCCCCTCTGGGCTTTGTGGAGAATGGGATTCTCCTCTGGTTCCTCTGCTTCCGGATGAGGAGAAATCCCTTCACAGTCTACATCACCCACTTGTCCATTGCCGACATCTCCCTCCTGTTTTGTATTTTCATTCTGTCCATCGACTACGCTTTGGACTATGAACTCTCTTCCGGCCATTACTACACAATTGTTACGTTATCGGTGACTTTTCTCTTTGGCTACAACACGGGCCTCTATCTGCTGACGGCCATCAGTGTGGAGAGGTGCCTGTCGGTCCTCTACCCAATTTGGTACAGATGCCACCGCCCCAAGCACCAGTCGGCGTTCGTCTGTGCCCTCCTGTGGGCGCTTTCGTGCTTGGTGACCACCATGGAGTACGTCATGTGCATTGACAGCGGCGGGGACAGTCACTCTCGCAGTGACTGCCGGGCAGTCATCATCTTTATAGCCGTCCTCAGCTTCCTGGTCTTCACCCCGCTCATGCTAGTGTCCAGCACCATCTTGGTGGTGAAGATACGGAAGAACGCGTGGGCCTCCCACTCTTCAAAGCTGTACATCGTCATCATGGTCACCATCATCATCTTCCTCATCTTCGCCATGCCCATGCGGGTCCTCTACCTGCTGTACTATGAGTACTGGTCAGCCTTCGGGAACCTGCATAACGTCTCCTTGCTCTTCTCCACCATCAACAGCAGCGCCAACCCTTTCATCTACTTTTTTGTGGGCAGCAGCAAGAAGAAGCGCTTCAGGGAGTCCTTAAAAGTGGTCCTGACCAGGGCTTTCAAAGATGAGATGCAGCCCAGGCGCCAGGAGGCCAACGGTAACACCATCTCCATCGAGACCGTGGTCTGAGGACCACAGCGAGGAATTGGGGACAGAAACAGTGGAATGTGGGTAGCTTTCAATTTGTGCTTGGAATGCAATCGAAGCACATTTAAATCTCCAAAATATGATGCAGAAAGGAAGCATTCCACATGCATGGGAGTCTAATTAATGATGAGCTTGCATTCTTAGCTAATGTCTTCTGGAAATGTCTCTGTATGTGACGGGGCTCTTTCTGTCTTTTCCAACCTTATCAGAGACTCATCCTTCTCCTATCTCTTTGGTAGTGATCAACAGTTAACTATAAAAACTGCTCTAGCGGGCTGGAGAGATGGTTCAGAGGTTAAGAGCATTGGCAGCTCTTCCGGAGGTCCTGAGTTCAATTCCCAGCAACTACATGGTGGTTCACAGCCATCTCTAATGGGATCTGATGCCTTCTTCTGGTGTGCAGGTGTACATGCAGCTAGAACATTATATACATAAAATAAATAAATCTAAGCCGGGCGGTGGTGGCGCACGCCTTTAATCTCAGCACTTGGGAGGCAGAGGCAGGTGGATCTCAGTGAGTTCGAGGACAGCCTGGTCTACAAAGTGAGATCCAGGACAGCCAGGACTGTTACACAGAGAAACTCTGCTTTGAAAATAAATAAATAAATAATCTTAAAAACAACAACAACAAAACTGCTCTAGCAGGAAATATCCCAAATGGGACCTGGAGAACCTAGGGAAGCCAAGCAGTGACGGCTGTTTGCTCCTATGTGACCTCAGACGAGCCGCTTTGGGGAGCCTCATTTCCTCCCTCAGCAGAAGTGGTAACACTCTGTACTGTGCCGGTTATTGTTGAGTATGGCTAGGTGGGCAAAGCCCCGGCTTGTTGTCAAAGTTCAATAAACGCCCGTCTCTCTTCATCCTGCCGCTAGAATACAACGTGCTCATACAAATATTGTCTTGTGCTTTTAAATGTTGAACGTAGATTCCCAAAGGTCTTTTGGCTTGTAGCATGACAGCTTTTCATGGTATAACACCTCTGCCGAAACGTCAGCAGTTGTTACAAGGTAGCAGTCACATGCTGGGATACGGTTTCAAGTTCTGGAAACAAACATTTGTCCCCTCTTGGAAGAATCTCCCATGGCTTCCTGTTCCTTGGGGAATATCACGTGGAATGGAAGTCTAAGTTTTGAAAATTTTTGACTATGTATACAATTTCACAAATGCAACTTAATTCGGGAGATTGAGAACTATTGTGATCTTGAAGACCTGTTCCCTCAAAGAGATGGGTTATTTATAGCTCTGACACTCTTGCCTGCACTCATGTATACATGCATGCAGCTCACATACATGTGAATGTGTGTGGCTGAACTTGTGGTGGGTGGGTGTGCATGTATGTGTGTGTGTGTGCGTGTAGAGGCCCAAGGCTGAACAGAGGGAGTCTTCCTCTGTTGCTTTCAACCTTATTGAGTCAGGCTCTCTCAGGGAATCCAGAGTCACCACTGGGCTAGTCTAACACATACGAGCTTCCCCCAGAGAATCCTTGTCTCTACCTTCTAAACACAGGGCTTACAGACAGGTTACCATGCCCACTACTCAGTATTTGTGTGGCCACTAAGAAATCCAACTTCTGATCCTCATGCTTGTATGGCAAGTGTTTTGTCCCAGACTCCTGGCTTTTTTGTTTCATTCTTCTGAGAAGGAGGCTCACGGTGGGAGCTAAAAAGGATGCCAGTGCATCTTGAAGAGCTCTGGATGCTTTCCCCCAAGACCGACCTCTCCACTCAGTACTGGCTCAGGCAAGCTCTGTCTCCTGTCGGCTCTGAGTTACCATCCCCAGACCACACATATTGGATTTTAACCGAACACTGTCTTAGCCTATAGACTAATACACTGGGATGCTAATTTCCTGCCTTCCTTCCAGGAGTCTCACTGAGGGGCAGCACTTGCTGGGTTCTTCATGTGGGCAAACATTCAGTAAGTGGACCATCAGTCCCTGTTTCCACTGTTTGTGCTTTGTAGGGTCGCATGATCTTTGGAGGAACAACTCTTCCCGGCTGCCCTCTCCACCCTCTTTCTGTCTCAGAAGTAATAATGCCAGTCACCTAGGGCTACTTTGCTGGGGGAGAGGTGTGAGTCTCTCCCACCAAGCTGAGACCCCCCGCTGCTAGCCAAATGGGATGCAGGAGACTTTTCAGTGGGTGATGACATCTGATTCAGAAGCAAGGCAGCTTGTGTTCAGGAGTCCAGATGGGGTGTAGCGTGGTGACATTTAGAATGGTCTTGTTTTCAGTTGAAAGCAGAGTTTCTGTACTAGGGAAGAGTGGAATATACCACTCAGGCTGGCTCCTCTCTGATTCTGCTGTTTCCTGGATGCCACATACAGTCTCATCACATCCTAAAAGAGTTTCTGTCGCTATGGCAAATACCTGAGTTAAGTCAATTAATAAGAAGGGTTTATGTTGGCTCATCACTTCAGAATTTCAGTCCACAGTCACTCGGCCCTGTTCCTTTGAGTCTGTAGTGGTATGAGGCATCATGCCAGGAGCATGCAGTAGAGAAGAGCTGTTCACCAGCATCCCAGCATGCCAGCATGCCAGCATCCCAGTATCCCAGCATCTCAGTATCCCAGTATCCCAGCATCCCAGCATCCCAGCACCCCAGCATCCATATGTCCCAGCATCCCAGCACCCCAGCATCCGTATATCCCAGCATCCCCTTCCAGGGCACGCCTCCAATGTCCTAACTTCCTTCCCCTGAAGGCAAGGACTCAAAGTCCCAGCATCTCCCAATGGAGTCACACATTCATGGCCAAGCCTTTACACACGGGGCTTTGTGGACACTGTTGAGGATGCAGAGCCCAAGGAAAACACTGTGAACTGGCAGAAGCCCTACTCTGCTGCCTTCTGGCAGATGAGGTAAGGAAACTGGATGGATGGATGTGTTTGAACATTCCCCTAACTTCTCAACAATCAATTCCTTGTAAAGAGGTAGGATTTGGAATTCTGTATTTTTAATGACAAATTTCTCTCTCATCCCTTCAGTCTATTCTCAAAGTGAACTATAGATTAAAACCAGGTCCAGAAACACAGCTCAGCAGATAGAAGTGGGTGCTTCCAAACCTGAAGACCTGAGTTCGATTCCCAAGACCGACATGGTAGAAGGAGAAAATGGACTCCTAAAAGTTGTTCTCTGACTTCTCCATATGTGCCATGGTATGTGTGTCTCCCACATATATACCTACTGTGTGTGTGTGTGTGTGTGTGTGTGTGTGTGTGTGTGTGTGTGTGTGTGAGCGCGCGCACACACACACAATAAACAAATGTAATAAAAAATTTCAAAACCTAAATCAGATGTGGTGGCTCATGCCCATGACCTCAGCACTCAGGGAAATGAGGTAGGAGTAAGTTCAAGCCTGGGCTACATGGTAGGTTTCAGGCTAGCCTGGGCTATGATAATTATAGTATAAAGTGGGCAGTGGTGGCACACGCCTTTAATCCCAGCACTCAACAGGCAGAGGTGGGCGGATCTCTATGAGCTAAAGCCAGCCTAGTCTGTAGAATGAGTTCCAGGACAGCTAGGGCTTCACAGAGAAACCCTGTCTCAAACAAACAAAACAAGTAAAATAAGATCCTGTTTCAAAAAAGGTCAGAGTGGGTGGGGAAGATCAATCAAAGCTCGCCTTAGCTACACAGAATATTTTAGGGGAGTCTGAGCTACATTTGACCTTGTCTCAATGACACAATGAAAGAGCCAAATGTTGTGGTGAGTGAGGCCTGTAATCCCCTCACTGAAGAGGATGGAACTGAAGGAGCACCAGTAGTTAAAGGCCAGCCTGGACTTCATAGCAAAATCCTGTCTCAAAACAGAAAACAACAACAAAACCAAACAACCAAAAATAAATAAAAACTGAAATGATAAATAAATTTGCTCCTTCACCACCCCAAGCAGGGAATGGAAGCGTCGTCCTGAGCGGCTGCATAAACATCTCAGGAGCTCAGTCATTACCACACTGCATAAACATCTCAGGTCAATCATTACCACACTCATTTATTGGTGCGTGCTTTTGATCAAGACGCAACTCTTAGGATGACTTGCTCTTGGACAAATGGAGAATGCTAAAACATTGCCCAAAGTGCTTACTATGAAGCAACGGCCCAGTGAAACACCCTTCAAACCCATCAGTCCCCTCATCCTGCTCGCATGTGCTTCAGTGTCTATGGGAATCAAACTGGACTACTGAGCCCATCCGTCTCCTTTCAAGGAGGAGATAGAATAGCTGAGGCCTGAGGGACCACATGGTGATTTTTCTTTCCCTGGTTCAGGGACTCCCTATTCTAGCCAGTGCATAACAGTGCTGGATTTCTGGAGGTTTCCACATCTCCAGACCTGTCTTTTGCTCCCAGAGATCAAGGACAAGGATATTTCCCAGGTGAACTTCAAACTTGGAAGGGTCTTCTATCAGGCACACGCTAGAAGAATTAGAGGACAAGGCTGGCCTGTCAGTCTGGTGGGGCATCTTGGCCTTCTCCATCAGCCATGTTCTGAAACTCTTCTCTGAGAAGGTGGAGATCAATGTTTCCACACCCTTCACAGTGATCCCTGAAGTATCATCGCTTTTACACAGACCCTGCTTGCTTTCTTTTACTGACTCTTCTAATTTCCTCCTGTTACCATAATAAAATAATGTTGATCAAGGCAACTTGGGAGAGAAAGCGTCTATTTGGCTTAAACTGCCAGGTCACAGCCCATCATTGAGGGACGCCAGGGCAAGAACACAAACAGGAACTGAATCAGAAACGACAGAGGAACGCTGCTTGCTAGCTCATGACTAGCAAGTTTCCTGATACAGTCCTAGATTGCCTGCCTAGGGAACGGTGCCACCTGCAGTGGGCTGGGCCTTCCTGCATCAATTAGCAATCAAGACAATCCCCCACAGACCTGCTCAAAGTGATCTAGGCGATCCTTTTTTCAACAGAGGCTTTTCTCTCAGGTGACTCTAGGCTGTGTCAAGTCATTAAAGCTAACTAGGACACCAACCTTGAACCCAACTGCTTGGGTCTGAAGGTTTGTGTCCCCCATCATTCACACTTTGAAATTCTACCCCCTCCCATGATGGTCTTTGGAGGTGGGGCCTTTAGGAAGTGATTAGGTCACTAGGCCTGTGCTGTCATGAATAGGGTGATCACTCTTTTATCTATCTATCTATCTATCTATCTATCTATCTATCTATCTATCTATCTATCACCTGTCTGTCTATCTATCTATCTATCTATCTATCTATCTATCTATCTATCTACCTACCTACTTATCTACCTACCTATCTATTTATTGTTTTGTTTTTCTTTTTTTTTTAAAGATTTATTTATTTATTATGTATACAATGTTCTGTCTGAGTGTACACCTGCAGGCCAGAAGAGGGCACCAGATCTCATTATTGATGGTCGTGAGCCACCACGTGGTTTCTGGGAACTGAACTCAGGACCTCAGAAAGAACAACCAGTGCTCTTAACCTCTGAGCCACCTCTCCAGCCCTATTGTTTTGTTTTTCATGACAGAGTTTCTCTGTGTAACCCTGGCTGTCCTGGAACTCACTCTGTAGACTAGGCTGGATTTGAACTCAGAGGTCAGCTCTGCCTCCTGAGTGCTGGGACTGAAGGCATGTACCACTATGCGTGGTTAGGATGAACACTCTGATAAAAAAGGAACCCAAGCAGGTGCTTATAAACACTCCTTGCTACGCCTGCCTGTTTTCTTAAATTCCAACTCTAAAAGGTGTGACTTTTTTTCCCTTCCGTCTTTTCTTTTTGGGATGGAGGGAGGGGGGTAGGTACCAGCCCAAACCCTAAGCACGCGTCTCCTGACACCTGGGCATTCATCTCTTTCTCTGGAGGCCCCTTCTCACCCATGCACCTCCTTG